AACGTAATATACACCCAAACTCGTTTTTTAGAATTATAATTTAATTTTCAGCTATTGTGAATGTAGCTGAATATCATTTTATAATTTAGGCAAGAGATATTCCTCTTAGTTTTTTTTTTTTCAAATAAAACAAACCAACAGTTTCACGGGCTAAAAAAAGTGTTTTGATTGTAAACAATGTCAATGTCAGATAGGTATTTATTGTTCAACAGCTGTACGGTATTTCGTTAAGATCATCAGCTGTTAATATACTTACATAGTTACATTCTTGATTTTATTGTAACAATTTATTGTCAGTTGATTGTTGTTCTATAAATTGCGTACTTAGGAACAAACTTGAATTCTGGTGTAATTTGGCAATTATTTCCTCCAATTTGTATAACCTCATAGCGAAAAACAAACCAAAAATCCCTCATTTTTGCACTACAAACACGTATTTCCACCTCAATCGGATTATCCAAACTAAACAGATCGCAACACAGAATTGCTTTAATGATGAAAATCTTTAAAACCCAATCACACATCTCTAATCACTTCCACTAATTTCCTTGTTAGACACGACGCTTGATTGGTCGTTGCTGTGTTAACAGCTGATTGTGTGACAACAATGGACACTTTCTTTGCGAATGATAAAACGATGATTGGGTGACGCGGCTGTTTCCGAGCATTGTTGCCAACGGCGCGGCGCAGTAGGCGTGTAGTCTTAATGCGCACATTTCCTGTGACTTAGGTCGGGACTGACTATTGCTTAATGTCAATCAACCACCGGATATTGTATTGTAGGTATTGTAGTCATTGTAGAAGAATAGACACAAAACGTGGGAGTCAAGGAAACGTAGGGCTGTGCGAAAGAGATGATTGATGCAAATTAGCTAGTAAAAAGGAGATTAGGTACTGTTTTGAGTTTATGCAAGTAGTTATAAAGAGAAGACTATTGATGGAAGTTAGCCGTTGGGAAGAAGATTGATGTAAAGTAGTTATTTAAGGTGAATTAAGAAAAATAGCTAACTATGAGGAGATAATTTTTGCAAAGTATCTATTAAAAGGAAGAAGATTGATGCAAATCAGCTATTAAAGAGGAGAATATTGATGCAAATCAGCTATTAAAGAGGAGAATATTTATACAAATCAGCTAAATAAGTGGAGATAATTGATACAAAATATCTATTTTGGAGGAGTGACACAATCAGTTATATTAACCAAAAGTTATTCATGGAGTTGGTGTATCAGTTATTAAAGAAGGGAATATTGATATAAATGATCTATTTAAGAGGAGAATATTGATCTACATCAGCTATTAAAGAGGAGATTGTTGATGCAAAGTAGCTATTGAAGAGGATATAAATAAATGTATATAAAAAGTTTTATTAAAAATAAAATGATTGGCTGAAAGCAATGATCGAGGATAATTGGTGCAAGATAGCTGCTAAAAAGATATTATTAGTTATATCTAACATTTATACCTATGTATGCTAATAATGAGACTAACTAATAAAATTATGAAACTGTAATTGAATGTGAAATTAATTTTGTTTCAAACTCGTACCACAGTAGATGATTAAAATTTTTATCTCAGCAGTGTTCAGTTGGTTGCTGCTCAGATTTCTGGTGTGTTATTTACTAAGCAGTGTAAGATAAGAAAAAATAATTGTTTTTTAACTACTGAGTTAGAGTAGTATTTTAATTCAAGATTTTCTTGAAATAAATCAAAACTGTTTACTCCATATTCTCATGTTTTATTTTTTTATTTTGAAATAAAAAAAATAACGTTGCAAACATTCTCAAGGTTAAAGTTACTTTAAAACAAACCTGTTTAATCAGAACACAGAATTATCAAAAAAACTACATGTTTAACTCTACTGTAATCCAAAAACTAAAACCTTCTGTGTTACTAAAATTGTAGTGTCTTTTAGGACCAAATCGAAATCGTGCAAATATGAAGATGAACAGCATAAACCTCCAATCACTATGATTTTTTTTGTGTTAAATATTTAGCATGGAAAATATAATGCAATTTATTTTAAAGGTATTTAAAATTCAGCTATACCTATTAGTACGGTAATTGACAATTTAGTTTTGTTCAGATTTTGAAACTATGTTGATGTTAGCACACATGTCTAACATCCATTGGGTAGCATTTCCTACCCAAATCAAAACCATAATTGAATTTTTAAAATCTATTGTTAGAGTTATATCGTGTATGCAAATTACATAAGTTTCACTTATAGTATTTGAATGTTGTCTGAGGTAATTCAGACGATAAGCGTTTCTAAATAAAATTGAAATACAATTAAAACGTAAAATATTTTAGGTATTACAATTTTAACTCAGACATATTCAAAATAATCTATCTAATCAACTTTCCCCTAATTAAAAAAAAACACAAATAGTCCGAAATAGCCTTGGGTCAATACCGTAAGGCGTAATGCAATGCGGGTGATTATAAGATCGCCTGACCGAAGTGGAAAATGTCGTGTCGTGTAAGAAAGCATGCATGACCGTGGAATACAAGTGGAAAATCATTACACCACAAAAACTAATGAAAACCTCGCGGCAGTGTGCGAGGGGCAGTTGTGTCGGGCGGACTGTCCACTGCAGTACCATGATCTACATACTGTACAGGTATTGAGGTGCTACTTTATGCTGATCTTATCTCCCCCCCCCCCACACTTCCTACGCCACACTTTCTTTACCCCTTCATGTATGTATGTGTGTACTGCGGGATAAAACTTGTCTTTCTTTAAATTCAGTGTAATGATTTGTTATTTTTTGGGGGTGATGTTTTTTTGTATTGAAAGTTAGGTCAGATTTTTTTTATCATTCTGGAGCTTAGGATAAACTCAATGAATGGCAGAGGGTTAGGATGTTACACATAAAAAAAGGCCGTAAAAAGTATAACATTTTATAAACCCTATTTTAGTCTTGTCTGTATAGTTATTGTGTTATTATTTCAATAAACGTTACAGAAACAGGTTAACATTAGTACTTATGGTTAACAAAAACACTTTTAACATTGATTTCACATTTAACAAATGTTATCTTCCTAGAGGGTTAAACTCATCAAAAATTTAAAATACATGCGTTATAATTTTTAGCAAGATTGCAGACTAACAGTTTTTCCTTTTTTCTAGACATTCAAAAGCATAAATCACTTAAATGTATAATTTTAACTCTTATTATGACTCTAGATTTTAGTTGTTCAAATTACATTCGTTATTTTTTTTTAACCCTTGTTAAATAACCATCTGTGGAATTACTTTGGAACCATATCAGATGATTCATGTGAGCGTAAATGTTACAAAATCTTTACAGCATAGTACATTTTGCTTTGGTTGACACTGTCCATTAGCTGATCTAAAAGGATCTATATACGATATAGATTGAAAGTTTTACACACTAAAGTTTAAGTAAGATCTGCTCCTCAAATTTATCTACCTCAAAAGAGTGTATCTTATACACCTACAGAGAGGCTCCAGTTTAAAAGTTCAAATTGTTCTCTCAAAAATTGTCTAGTGCTTTGATTTTATTGAAATAGAATGAAATTCAAAGACTAAATTCCACCAATCATATTACCAATATAGTTTATCTAACTTTTTACTAAGAAAAGAGATAACTTCTCCTCATAAGGGTTAGCTAAATAATTTTCAGTATTAAGTTCTACTACAAGGGCAGTGTGATAACAAAAAATTAAAACTTTACAACAAACTAACATATAAGCAATTATAAATTTTAATAAAAATATACGTGTGAATACTGACGCCATTTTAAAATGCATTAGGTAATACCACCTCCCCATTTAATCAATACAAAGAACTTATGCATTTATTCATACACAATTACAATGTTCGGAGTAAAGACTTGATCAATGCAAGAGAACATGCAACACTTAAAAACTCGGCTACACAACTTGATTATTTGTTTTAACCCCAAAGTGTTACTAACGCCAGTGAAATATTAAAATATTCTTTATGTTTTTGTAATCTTTAGTTATAAACATCCACATTATAAAGGTACTTAAAAACAACGTGTAAAATTTCTACTAAGATTATTTCCTTGCATCATAAAGGTTGGGGTTTATAACATATTTTTTATCAAAAAAAGAAAAAGAAATTTGATTTATTTAGCCTCACAATTAATTGTCTAGTGATTCAAATTCCGCTAAGGACAATGTAAATCTTCTATGGGATGATTGCAATGAACCAATAGACTTCGAAGCTTAAATCTACAGTCCACAGTAAACAGTAGGCATGCCCCAAGAAAAAATATGTCTCTGAGTTTACACAAGGCCATTAGGCAGGTAGGTCACGGGGCAGGTTACCTGCCTCTAGTGTTTTTCAAGTTAATAAGGCAGGTGACCTGCCTGCCATCTTCATGAAAACACGACTTTAGAGTATAGGACAACTATGTCTCTAGATATAGATATCCCTCCACCAAAAGCAGTAAGATCTTATTTGCCATTCATATATATAGACAACATCAAGTTTAGGCATAACCTAAACTTGTCTGGTTAGTCAAATGGTTAAAATTTGTTTCAAATCTGGAAGCTCATAGTTTGATTAAAAGCGGTGATATTATTCTAATTACCATTTGTTAGGATATCGAAACGAAAGAGTTTTGTTAAAATAAAAAACTAACAAAATATTGATGTTAAATAGTATCAAGAACGTAACAAAATTTCTAATAGCAGTTAAATAAATGAGGAGACAATGCCATCCAGCATAGTCGCATGGTTGAAAAGCAATCTTAAAAGTTATTGGTGGCTCGGCTTCAATCTGTGTATTCCAGCGGTCAAGCTTTTGTACTCTATGCGTTTAACACAGACCTGTATTTACCTCCGATTCTAACTTTGGGCACTTTTAGGTGCCTTCTATTTTACGTAACCTATTAGCTCCATAGGTATTCATGCTATTATGGTCAGATGAGATAATTTTCATACTTTGCGAATTACATACTTGTATGGTTCAGGACAACTTATTTTTTATGTACTCTGTGTGTTCTAGGACTCCGGACATGTCTCCTCTCAACAACACTGTCCATCCCCTGGACCCCTCGCTCCCGCTGCAACCCCCCAAGAAGACTGGATGCTGTGGTCGGCTGTGTGACAAGCTGTGTTGCCGAACACCTGATAAGGTAAATCGATCTGGTAAAATACTGAAAAATGTTCCACTTGAGCAAGCTTGTCACTTGTCATAACGAGCAGTTTTAAAGTTCCTTTGGTTAAGCTACTATCATGGATTTGTTTAACCTTAAGATAGTCTGTTTAAAACCATTTAGAGAGTCTTAAAACTGAAGTTCCGATTTTTTTCAAATTTTAAATTAAATGTTACAGCCTACCGAAGGTATAATCAGAAGCTGATTTTACACCATGATTATTACCATCTTCTATTTGGTGAATACAGCATTCCATTCCACTCATAGTGTTTTGATTCTTGAGGTAACCAGTTTGTCCAACCTGACAAATATAAATTCAACTGTAAAGATTATCAGTTTCTATACAATATTCTAAACATACAGGGTGATTGATATAAGTGTGCCAGCTGTTTTATTAGAAAGTTATAAGAGATATAAAAAAATGTTAAATTGTAACTGCCTTGGATTTAAAAAAAAAAAATGTTGGTCAAGTTAAAAATAATAATCTATACGTTGGTTGGACTGTATATCTATTGTCTTGCATATGTTTACAGTTTAGTGTATACATATCAAAAGTTTTGCTAGACGTATTTGTTACTTGTGTATAAAAGCGCCAACGTAAAGTGGTGATAGTTATTTCCATCTTATAAACCATCTAAAATAGAGTGAAGAAAAAAATATATAAAACTGAATCTCTGCATCCTCTTTAGGTTTGTTGCTGCATAAAAACTCCAAACTGCTGCAGCGGGCTGGGCCGTGGACTGGGAGCTCTCTGCAGCAAACTAAACTGCTGCAAGAAGATGAATTGCAGCAGTTGCTGCGGAAAGACTGACACTAAAACCAAAAATAAACCCAAGCCTGCTCGGCAAAGGTAAATTCATTTTAAGTGTGTTGGCTTTTCTCAAAACACATTTTTAAGGCACAGTATATGATTCTTTTCAAACATTTACCAATAAAGTGAACGTATCCTTCTCACTGAGACGTGATTCCTGCATTCTTTTTACATCCAGTACTTTATATTAGCCCACATATTAATCTGTTACATCCCAGATTTCCAACTAAAATAGTTATTGTTATTAAGGAATCATAGTTGATTGATAAAAATAGCGAAGTATGTTACAACCATTAAAGTACAAACACTAGTATCAAACAATTTGATGATTCTTGGTTCATAAGTAAGACATTTGAACAAAATTGAAAATTCTTTTTTATGTTAAACTTTATTGGAGCTGCAGGAAAAGCAAGCTGTGTAGAGCTGTGTAGCTGTGTGAGGAGCTGTGTGGATTTGGGCACAGCATTGTACCTGTTCCATTTGATAACCATTGGTAAACATTTTTTCCAACTGTAGCAAATTACTACCTTAGCAATTATAACAGATACAACTGCAAAAGCTATTATGTATTTCAAATGATACAATCAAAGACTAACCAACACAAGTAGACTTCTCATCCCATTGTAAATTTTGAAGCTCGGTTTCCTGTCTAGTTTATGTCCGGTGACGCTGATCGCTGTCGACAAAATTTAGCTCCTATTATTTTGCAAAATCTTCCTGGCTAATCTATAATCTATCCTGGCTATTTGTTGTAGCCTATTATTTTAGGGTTATTTTAATGATTCCTGCTTTATTGTTCAGTTGTAACTAGAGTATGAGCTATTGTTTATGATTAGATCGTTTTATTTGGTTAAACGTTAAACGGTTTTTTTCTTTAATAAGAAGAAACAAATTGTTATCCAAACACGACCTCTACAGTGCACCAGACAGAACTAACGATAAAATTAGCTTCAGCTGTTCCATAAGGATGAGAAATCTACTAAAAGGGAGTATGTTTCATCTATGATACAATGTACAAATAACTTAATAATAATAATGTTAACTGTTCCAATAGCAGTAGACTACGAGACTGCTTGTCACACCTGAACTGCTTCCGCTGGTCCACGTGTTGTCGCAAGAGACAACCCCCACCACCGAGGGATGAGGAGGAGGGGGACGAGGGGGGAGGCTGCTGTGACGGCTGCAAGTATCGCTCCTGCGGATGTTTCAGGTATGTATCAGCTGAAGAAACAGCTGATCGTACTCCATCATACACTCATCCAGTATTCACATTCACCGTGCAAATTGCACTGTTGTCTTAATTAGGTAATTTTCAATGTCAACTTTTCAACCTTTTACCTTGAACGACTTTCTGCCAAGCTTTATTCAACTTTAAACAACTTACTATCAAACTTTGTTCTACTTATGATGTTTTCCTCCCAGGGCGTTGTTCTGTCTCAACCGAGCCTGCTGTCAAAGAATGCGGGCTTGCTGCAGATGTACAAGGTTTGGTTGCTGCAGATCAGGGGGATGCTGCGGTCCTACCCCTCCTGCACAGCTGGACCGCAGAAAAAGCAGACTCAGCGTCCGCAAGAGTCAGACCAGCATTACGGTGAGAACGTAAAACTGAAACACTTAGTTCTGAACTCCCAGACAGAGCTGGCCTTAGGCACGTGCAAAAAGTGCAGCCACACAGGGTACCTTTGGAGGCCCGCTCTTGCAAAATTCAAAACAATTTCAAAGAGTGTCTGTATTTTACACCAGTTATGCTAATATTACAAAAAGAAAAGGGGAGAGTATAAATACTAAATTTATAGATTGAGATTTTGTTTAGTTTTTATTGTTAGATTACTAGTTCTTTTTTTTGTGGCCAGCTCTGCTTTCTGATTGCTAAAATTATGTGAGAAACAAAAGTCATCGTAGAGTTTGCCTTTGTGATATAATTACAGTTAAGAGCCTTATTCACCCCTGCAAAAACACTAAAAACATGCGTCGGGATTCCCTCGCTCCGGATGGAATGTGTTATTGTGTGTGGAATGTGTCCAGATCTAATGTTAAAAAATTTCCCTCTACAGATTAATGTTGATTCTAGAGCCCTCATACATGATATATCCAAGAAAATCAATACAAAAGAATCTTAAAAGTAACGTAACTTGAGTAACTTTTAAACATTGATAAAACTATTTTTTTATTTTCAATTTATTGAGTTATAAAAGCAATAATATAACTATTAAACTACATTTTTACCAAGTTTTAAGAAAATCTGTTGAAAAACGGTGTCCGAAACAAGGGACGAAATAATTAACATGTTTTGATTGGAGGCTACTGCGCTACTAGACTTTACCAAAACTTGGCTCAAATGGCAGATGAATCACCGAAGTGTCGATTTAGTAGTTGTGTGTTTAGGATGTTTTCAGAATGGCGCACATAAATGAAAATATGAAAATCTACCTGTTGTGGTTGTGCATATCGGGTATGGAATTTGAATTTGTTTACAATGCAATTGGCTGTCTCAAATCCTGACACATATGTCCAGCAATTTGTATAAATGCAAATAAATCCAACTTAACTACCATAACAATCAAAAACATTATTTGTACACCTAATTTGACCACCTAACAATACGACTGTTACAGCAAGGGATCCCCAAGCTAGATCCTACCTTAGTAGAACACCAGTCTATGATGCGAGGGGCCGTGCCTGTACTGCCTGTGCCTCTAGCCTGGCTGTGCTGCATCCTCAATGTCTTCCTGCCTGGTACAGGTACGATATCTACAACATCGTAACACTTTGTTTAGTAGTGCTATAACCAAACTGAATAAAACATTTGTCTATGGAGAGGACTAGATGTAATAAATTTATATAACAAATACATCTCAAATAAGCAAAAAGAAAGCCTTCTTTATGCTTATTTTACACTATAGGGATTTAGCCATCCGGTTGAAAACAGTACGATGTTACTCAGTTTATATGTTTCTGTTTCTATTACATTACATGGTTTCTAACTCTAACTGTACGTCAAGATAAATGTGTTTATAGTGTCACAATAATTAATTAACAACTGTGTCTAAGGAATATGTCAGCCTTAGTCACTAACAAGACTACAAGATCGCGCCACTCATCCTACACTCATCTCCATTCAAACTTGGCTAAAATACCTACTTTGTATGGCCGCCATTTCTTAAAAAAGTATTAAGTATTAATAATCATAAACAGTGTCCGATTTATAGGTTAAATTGTTTACGGCAAAAACCATATTTTTTTTTTTTTTTTTTTTTTGTCCTAAGGACGCTAGGCACGAGCCTGGGATTGTTTTTCACATTACTTCAGGCTAGACCTAGGGGTTGCGGCATTATCACTTAGATAAAATCCATTGGTGACTTGGCGGGGATCGAACCCGGGACCTCAGGGACTGAAGTCCCGCGCTCTAACCTCTACGCCAGCTCGCTCCCCAAAAACCATATTGTGTGGAAGGAGAGTTGCAAAACTGATGTTAAAACCTTGCCCAACAAATCATCTGTCGAGAAAATTAATGTAATTTGATGATGATAAATTAATAAATGCAATCCAGCTGTGCAATAAAATATAGCGATGATTAGGAAGTCATTATTGGGAACCAAGAATTTATTCAAAGGACATGTTTTCTAAAGTAAGAAAATCTGTACTACAGCTACATGATGAATGGTTTGAGTAGCTGAGTGGTTAGAGTGTTTGCCTGACAATCAAAAGGTTGCTGATGGTTCGAGCCTGAGAAAAGTCAGTAGCCTTTTTGATGGTTTGAAACTAGACCCAGCTGTTTCTATCATTTGGCTTTAACTAAATTATCCTGGCTAATGAAACAGCTGATCTTAGTCATCCAGTAACAAAGCTATACACATGATCTCACTCCATTCTACATCACCTTGCTTATTATTTCCACCTCAAAATACGTACACCCACCTCCGATGACGGTTCAGTTATCAGGTCAAATATCAACGGGGAGGTTTTTAATGACAGATGTCAACCTATAGTTTGTATACCAATTCATTTTCTTATTACCACAACCTTTAAACCTTCCTAGGATACAACTGGTTTCAAAAAGGCAGTTTAGTTCTTTGATAAGATTTTTTAATAAAGTAGGTATAAATACACTACCACTAAAATATGCTAATCTTGTTGCGTTTAAGGAGGCACATCATCGTATTAATATTTTTATTTGATCATAGGCACATTATTGAGTGGAGTGTTCTGCATGTGTTTCGGCAAGCCGAGGTTCTCAGTGAACGACTCGTACCCGTCTCGATTGACAGCGTTCCTCATCAACCTGGTTGTGTCCGTGTCGCAACTCTTCACCGTCATATTCTGTCTGGTCGGATGGGGCTGGAGTATTTGGTGGGGTGTGATGATGGTACGCTTTGCAAGTGAGTATCTCAAGTTACATCCTTAGAGAATACCGAGAGAAAATCTTTAATTGTGAAAGAAACATGTTATTGTTTTTAAGAACTAGGACAGAGTCATGTACCATCTAGAAACTATCCATGTTCTTTTGAAGTCCTATAAGTAACATTAGGTGAAACTGAAATAAGTAAATAACTGTTTTCAATGCCATTGTTGTACATTGTTACAGGAAAAAATAAAAGGATTCAATTGGCAGAAAGAACAGGCGGAGACCAACCAGCGGCTGCGCCAGTGGCGGTCAATCAGAATCATGATGTAGAGAGAGCTCGATAGCGAAATAGACTAAGAAACGGATACAGATTTTACAGGCTGCGTCCATGTGGTTCAACTTAATGTTAATGGTTAACATCTCATTGTGTTGACACAAAGAAATATGGCATTAAAAAAATGCTGCATTTCATCAAAATTTACAGAGATTAACCATATGTTTTATAAGATTACTACATTGATTTGATTTGACCATCCTTTCCTTTGTGGTATGAGTAACTGTAAGTCCTTTGAACTTACTTATAATGGCTGGTAATAAAAAAGGATTATATATTTTTTTCATATTTTAAAACAATCAATGATTTAAAACATAAAATTAAATTTACCACTAAGTTTTATGAAATTTGATTTTCTTTAACCAACTTTATGGCAGAGCAAACAAAAATATTTAAAAAATTAAACAAGTGAATATGAACTGCTAAATAAAATCGTTACACCTCTTAAAGCTAAATATTATAGCATACAGTAGTGTACGAAGAATTTATTGTTTTTACTCGTACAATGATTGAATACTATGCCTAATAAAGAGTAGTTCATGTCAGCTTCTATTTTTATACATAATTTGCCACTGTTGGATTTTATATTTCTGGTAACATATTTTGGTCAAAACCTTCTTGTCTACTTATGTCTAATCATTTATCATTTATAGTCTTTAAATAATCATAGAGACCTCCCTTTTTGATACACTGCTGGTCAGTGTGATATTTGTATAACTCCGAAGAATTAATATTTTTCTACAACCACACCTTTATGTATAGCTTACCTAATTTTAAAGTTAGTTTTTTAGTAATATTAGTTTAATTGTAAATGTTTTTTATTATTATACTTACTAACCTGTAGCATTTATAAAACCTACTTAATGTCAATTTATAGCTGTAGTGTTGATATTTTGTATTATTTGTATTTATTTATATTGCTTATTACAACTAAAACTGTTATACCTCATATTACCTTTTTTTGTTGATAATTATAGGATTATTGAAAAACTATAAAAAAAACCTATCGCTACTGCCTCTGTTTCATAAATTAAAAAAATTAAATACTCATTTCAACAATTTGTTTAAGAGAAAAATTATCTCAAAATAACTGTAACAAACAAATGCAAATTTTGTTGCATATTATTTATCTTACTGAAACGCAAAGTTACGATACTGGTATAAGTTTTTCTTATCAATTTTGTATTCTTAAACAAAAACAAGACACTTAATTAGTTCCTAGTTTGGTATATAGGGGTTGAAACAGTTTTGTACAGGGTGAGGCAGTGAGAGCACTCCGATTTTATTTCGTTATTGTCACATTATAAGTAAAGCAACAATGAATGAACAGCTGTGCTTATAACATCTATCAAACTATGCAATTTTAGTAAACATTGTGCCTGAGGCTTGTAACACTGAGATTTTGATGTAGGAAGCAGGAACCTATTTGTAAAAAAAGTGGTTCTTGTGCAAACACCTAGAGATTGTTTGGACCACATATCCCATACTTGGTCAATATGGCGCTGTTCCAGATTGGAAAACAATAAGGAACTTGGTTAAACTATTTAGGGTAACAGCTTAAAACATAAAAATAATCGCTGGCGGGGGTGCGACAAAACTCTTTGTGCACCAGCAAATGTTGTAAGAGTATGAGTCACAGTAACTCAAAGTCCAAAGAGGTTTGCCAGAATGCTTTCCTAGTTGGAAGCTTTATGTTGGCTCTTTGCTTTTTTTGGGGGTTCTCCCTATAAGCTACTTGAAATTTAAGTTTATTTCAAAGTTGCCCTAGAGATTTTTCTTGAATTTTCAAGAAACTAAAGTGCTTCCTAAAGAAATATTGGAAGGAGTATTGGATGGTGTTTTCAAGTGACTGAAAAGGAATGTCAAGTAGGACAAGAGGACTTCAATTAAAGGATTTTGTTTCCAAGAAATGGAAAAAAATGACTTTGTTAAGTTAATATGACAAAAGATAAGCTGTGTTTTGGGGTTTTGATGTGCTATTTATATGTATAGGGTAAATAGTATTGAGTTTGTACTATTTATAAATTGGGGCGCTTTCATTGTCTCACCCCGTATTACAGCAAATTGTTTGTTTATTTATCTCCAAAATTCTTATAAGTGTTATTCCCTAAACATGTTTAGGTCTACAATAATATGAGTTGCTGTTTCCATTATTTTTTGTATAAAACACAATATCTGTTGTCAATCCAAAACTTGACTAATGTTTTATAGAATGAACTTTTAAAGTATACTCTTATGGAATGAAAGTAACATACAAATGTGAACATCTTTAATGGAAATTAAGAGATATTCTGCACAACAAAACAAAACTAACTTAGAGCTTAGAATAATTAAATAGTTGTAATAATCAGTCTTCCGTCAGTTAAAAATAAAATTTGTAAAAGTCACTTTTATATTTGTAGATTATAATTATCGTTGGCATTGTATATAAGATATTTTCCTGTATTTTCTCAACACTTGTTTTATAGGTCATACTACCACTTAAGTGAAAGAATTGTTGGTTTTAATTAAAATCCTAACATTACAATAATACTGGATATTTTACTCTCCTCTTAAATGTTATTCTTTTACATTGTTCTTCCTTATCAATCTGAGGCGTTCTTCATAATATATTTTAATATTTTTCAGTTTAATGAATTAATCTAAAAAACATATTTGCTTTTGCATTGAATACTATTGTACAAATATGTTATATTTTTTACTGGAGAACATACATTTATGCACCTATATGTTATTAGCAATTTATCCTATAGGGAATTACGGTAAGACCATTCGGAACTGATTTACTTTTTCATGTCCCCAGAAACACTATTTATTGTTCAAATTTTGTTATAATGTACATACAGGGTGGCTGGTCATCAGTGTTACAAAAATTTGTTTGTGTAATTACAAAGTTAATGAAGTGTGATGATGTATATAAGAGGTTTCAAGTGTAATAAAAATTGGCTTCTAAAATAACAATGATTTTAAACACACAGCAATTTATCAATTACCTGCAAACAGATTTGAGTAGATGATGTCATTTTCGAGTTCTACATTAAATTTTGAAAAAGAATCATTGAAAATGTTGGAGAATCAAATAGGCCTAATAATTAAAACTCCAGTGTAGTGTAAATAGTTCCAAAGATTGAGGTCTTAGATAAAAAAAAAACATTGGTCTATGGATTGATACATCTTTATACAAGAAGGTAGCAAGATATGTTTAAAACTGCGCCATTTTATAAGCTTCTACTTCTCAACCATATGCTGGTAACACTATTGAGGTTAGCGTCACGGACTTCGGACCCAAAAAGCAGCAATGTCGTGGGTTCGGATCCTGGTCACTGCCACAAACCATGTAGCACCTTTGTACGGTACCGGCTCACGCTCACCGCTTACTTTGCTTTATACGTTCCACAGTAGATTTCTCATCCTTATGGAACAGCTGAAGACAATTTTATTTTTAGTTCATGTACGGTTTATGTAGAGGTCGTGTTTTGTTTACAATTTGTTTCCCGTTATTACAGCCATTTAAAACCTTGTTTAAACAAATAATACGATCTAATCATAAACAATAACTTGTCCCCTAGTTAAATAACCAAACAGTAAAGCACAAATCAAGAAATTAACCCTAAAATAATGGAAACAAAGTTTCATTGACACTAGCGCCTTTGTGTCACGTACATGAACTAGACACGAAAAACGTGCTTCAAAATTTACAATGGGATGAGAAGTCTTCTTGTGTAGGTTAGTCTATGGTTCCACGCACGGGCAAATAGTCTATGTGGACGGACAAATGCAAGGTTGAAACAGGCCGCCAGCCTTTAAAAAATTGTAACTGTAGAATCTTGTGTCATAGTACTAAAAACTAATGGAGATGAAAATCCAAAGAGAGCAGCCATAAAGAAGTAAATGAGCCTCAGCTGCTCTCTGTGACTACAGCGCTCGCTCATGCTGTAGGAAGACCCTATATATGCGATAAACTGCTGTACAAAGATGCAATATGACCATCTCCAATCGGGCTCTTCCTTCAAATTCAAATAGTTTATTGCTAAGTATACATGTCATACAATAGGCCAGGTCAATGGAGATATACAATTAATTCATATATTGATAGTACTGTACAATGTAAATGTACAGAGTCAAGTGTATGATGAACATACTATACTAATAAACTAATAATTCTGGTTTTTATACAATAGTAATTGAAATATATTCATAATGATTTTTTCACCTAGGATGCTAGGCAAACCCAGGACCTCAGGGACTAACCAGAACAGCTAGCTCCCCCCGATACTGTTGATATAGTCATGTGGGCAAGTTGGGCATGGGCCTATATAAAACTTTAGGGGCTAAAATAAGCAAAGAGACACATAAATAAATGTTAAAATAAAATAGACAGTCCTAGCTCATTACATGTACATTTCCGCTCCAACATGAGAGTGGTAAAAGCGTACGGTTGTCACTTAAGCTTGTATCATTTGTGTCTTACATCTCTGTGGAGTAGCACACTCTGAAAGAAACTATTTAAATTTTACTTGAATAGAAAATTTGTCCCAATTCAATTCCATAGTCGATCCATAATGATAAACCTATGTGGGGTAGAACAGAGTAATCAATGGTATATCAGATTACAACATACAGAACTAACAGAATAGCTGCATAGCACCCACAGCTATTTAACTCCCTGTCTTGAGATAAAATCCAGCAAGAACTTTCGCGCCTAAACTAATGTACAATGCATTTCGAGGTCGGTCGCCACTCGGTAGTCGGTAGTATTGTCTGTCAAAACAAAATCAAAAAGAAACTAAAGAAAAAGAACCAAAACAAACAGACGGAGACGAGGACGAGACGAATACGAATATAACAACTTACTATGAAAATCGTACTGATTTCTTTTGGTTTGTGTTTCTATTTCTATTAAGGTATTCTTTTTGGGAAAAGGAAAAGGTATGTAATAACTAAAATAAAAATAAATGTATTTAGAGTTCTTTAAGTGATCAATTTCTCAATGAATCTTACGGCGACTTCTTTTCTAAGTGAAAACATAGCTAGATTGTATTTCCAGTCCTATGATGCTAAATTTAGTCCAGGCCTAGTCTAGTCTAAGCCTATCTCACACAGAATAATAACTTACTAGTGTCCCTGTTGCTCGAATTCGAGCAATTGCTAATTATTAAAGGCGTTATTTTAAAACAAATAACAGTCATAATTTCTGATGACTTTAAAAAATTCAACTCAAAGATTTTGGAAATACTCATGATGCAGGTAC